CATCTGTCCGCACTGAAAACACGTGGCCCCTGGTTCAGTTGTTGTTGCTGTTGTCGTAGTCGTCGTTCGATCGTTTTTGTTCAGGGCCAGATCAATGTGTGTGGTTGTTTTTTTTCGTCGGCGCGGGGTCGGCATAGGGTTGGATTAGGGTGGACTGTCGGTTTCAGGGGTGTCTTTTGGGCAGGCCACAGTGGGGGGGCTTCGGATTGCTTCAGGGCCGTGGATAAGTGTAGGGTCGGTTTAGGGTTCCCGCAAGCGACTCCAGTTAGTCTGCTTCTAGCTGCAGCTGCATCATCATTTGCCAGCTCTTCGCTCGAAGCAAGTTTAGAAGTTTGTTGTAGGCTTTGTTTTCAGAGCCGGGCACGCACGACAATGTCTAGCCCAACTGCCGGAGCAACAGCATCAACGACCAGAACAGCAACAAGAGCACAGCATCTGCAACAGCAGCAACAACAGCGACAAGAGCAACCACAGCAGCATCGGCAGTTTCACTGCCCAACCCTCAATGTAAGAAGCGTTGCAAGCGCTGGTGGCGAGGGAAGAAGAACAGGCAAAGGAGGAAGAAGAGGAAGAGAAGCAGGGGCTCCAGCTGGGCTGAAATTCCAGATTCCGGCTGTGCATACAGGCTCTATCTGGTCTAGGTGATGCGGGTCGACAGGCAAGCTCGAGCTGCTGCTAACACACTGCTGCGAGACCTAGAGGAGCTACGGCGTATGCATTGGGCTACTTGTGACGCCAACTTGGAGTCGGAATTCGAGGCACACTTTGAGGATGAACGCATTTACGAGGTGCTATACTTTTTGCTGTCCATTCTGCAGCTCCAAATTTTGGCTGGCGAGCAGGTTTTGCGGCTCAAAACAGCCGTCCCACCGGGAGTGGTTGCACCGGTCGATTATACTAACATCCCGGATGTGTATGCCAGATTTCGCAAAGCCAATGGGTTTCGCATGAAAGACATGCCTCCCGTGGTTACTGCGTGCTATCTGCTGATGTTGGGCAGCTTGCCGGAGGGGTCCGATTTTCAGGACCAGAAATCTGAGGAGCTGCTGTCAACGCAGCTGGAGCTCGCCAAGCAGGGCGTTCGACAAGGTGTTGGATCTGCGTCAGCCTCGGTTGCTGCAGGGTCGGCATCAGAGCAGCAGCGGCAGCCGCAGCAGAAATTGCTGGATTGGGAGGTTTTCGATCGTCTGGTGTATTCAGAGCTTGTGGAGCCTCTGCTGAAGGACGTACTCTTGCACCAAGCATGATCGCTGAAGGCCACAGCTGGTCTTGGTGGCAGGAATGGATTGCTCCTGTCATCACGGCTGACCAAGTTTACCAGCACATGGGACAGGGGGGAAAGAAGCGGGCTGCAGATAGTCTTCGCCACGTCAAAGAAATGCTCAAGCAGCGTTTTGCTGCAGATGGCGATACTGGGTGCTGCAGTGTCTTCCTGATCCGAGGATTCCGAGGATGATGAGTGCTGCGGACTTTCTGGAGCGCGTGAAAGCCAAAGGTCTGCTTTGGCAAGAGAGAGTGACAGAGGCGCAGCTGAAACTGCAGCATCTTGTGTGCCCTAGCACGAGCGGGAAAGAGTCAACCCTTGACTAAAGATGCTTTAATCCTAAATTCTAACTTCAAAATTGAAACCCTCCACCCTACAGTAAGTTTGCACAGCAACACGCATGAAACATGACCAAAAGTGAATGTTGTGTCGTTTCAGACGCAGGCGGCGGACGCCGAACACCAAGCAGGGGACGTGCCGATGTCAGGCGCCGGAGGAGAAGTGCAGCCGAAGGTGGCATTGCCGGCGCAGTTTGGATGAAGACCTCATCAGGCCTCCGCCTGCCGGCGCATTGTGCGTAATCAATGTTGCCCGCGAGGTCCGCCACACGATCCGCGCAATGTTGAGACGTAGCCTGTTTCCGCATTGGCTCATGCAGTCCAAGGACAGAGGCAAGGCTCGGACGCAAAGCTCAGAGTCAGGCTATTACGAAGCTGGCAACATGGCGTGGGAGGCCTTGTACTGGCTCGGCGGCCTCTACATGTTGCCCTTCGGCTCAGGCCTGGTTGAGGACCGGTGGCGGAATATGCGCATGCCAACTGACGCATATGGGACTGGCAGCAACAAATCGTCGAAAGGCGTCTTTAATGCCCATGGAAACACAATCGAATCGCTGTTTGGGTTTCTTTTCGCAAAATTGCGCACTGATGAGCAGCAGAGCGGACGTGGCAAACGCAAACGAAAGATGTGAACGACCCCGGACTCTCGCGCCTGATTGGTAAAAGGCTTTGCGCACGTCCTGGGGTCGTCATGCAGGAAGCATTTTAATTTTAGTTCTCGTGGCAGGGGCAGAATTGGCTTTGTCCATTCACACGCGCATCTGTCCGCACTGAAAACACGTGGCCCCTGGTTCAGTTGTTGTTGCTGTTGTCGTAGTCGTCGTTTGATCGGGTTTGTTCAGGGCCAGATCAGTGTGTGGTCGTTTTTTTCGTCGGCGCGGGGTCGGCATAGGGTTGGATTAGGGTGGAGAGTCGGTTTCAGGGGTGTCTTCTGGTCAGGCCAGTAGGGGGGCTTCGGATTGCTTCAGGGCCGTGGATAAGTGTAGGGTCGGTTTAGGGTTCCCGCAAGCGACGCCAGTTAGTGTGTGCTTCTAGCTGCATCATCATCTGCCAGCTCTCCGCCGGAAGCAAGTTTAGAAGTTTGTTGTAGGCTTTGTTTTCAGAGCCGGGCACGACAGTGTCGAGCCCAACTGCCAGAGCAACAGCATCAACGGCCAGAACAGCAACAAGAGCACAGCATCTGCAACAGCAGCAACAACAGCAACCAGAGCAGCATCGGCAGTTTCACTGCCCAACCCTCCATGGAAGAAGCGTTGCAAGCGCTGGTGGCGAGGGAAGACTGAAGAAGAAAAGGCAAAGGAGGAAGAAGAGGAAGAGAAGCAGGGGCTCCAGCTGAAATTTTGGGCTCCAGCTGAAATTCTAGATTTCGGCTGTGCAGACAGGCTCCATCTGGTCTAAGAGTCTAGGTGATGCTGCCGGCCTCGGGCCGCGTCGATAAGCAAGCTGGAGCTGCTGCTTATAAACTGAAGCAAGATCTGGAGGAGCTGCGGCGTATGCATTGGGCTACTTGTGACGCCAACTTGGAGTCGGAATTCGAGGCACACTTTGAGGATGAACGCATTTACGCGGCGCCATATTTTTTGCTGTTCATTCTGCAGCTCCAAATTTTGGCTGGCTGGCAGGTTTTGCGGCTCAAAGCAGCGGTCCCACCGGGAGTGGTTGCACCATACTAACATCCCGGATGTGTATGCCAGATTTCGCAAAGCCAATGGGTTTCGCATGAAAGACATGCCTCCCGTGGTTACTGCGTGCTATCTGTTGATGTTGGGCAGCTTGCCGGAGGGGTCCGATTTTCAGGACCAGAAATCTGAGGAGCTGCTGTCAACGCAGCTGGAGCTCGCCAAGCAGGGCGTTCGACAAGGTGTTGGATCTGCGTCAGCCTCGGTTGCTGCAGGGTCGGCATCAGAGCAGCAGCGGCAGCCGCAGCAGAAATCGCTGGATTGGGAGGTTTTCGATCGTCTGGTGTATTCAGAGCTTGCTGAAGGACGTACTCTTGCACCAAGCATGATCGCTGAAGGCCACAGCTGGTCTTGGTGGCAGGAAAGGATTGCTCCTGTCACCACGGCTGACCAAGTTTACCAGCACATGGGACAGGGAGGAAAGAAGCGGGCCGCAGATAGTCTTCGCCACGTGAAGGAGATGCTCAAGCAGCGTTTTGCTGCAGATGGCGATACTGGGTCAGAAAGTGAATGTTCGCTGCAGGGTCTTCCTGATCCGAGGATTCCGAGGATGATGAGTGCTGCGGACTTTCAGCAGCGCATGAAAGCCAAAGGTCTGCGTTGGCAAGAGAGAGTGACAGAGGCACAGCTGAAACTGCAGCATCTTGTGTGCCCTAGCACGGGCGGGAAAGAGTCAACCCTTGACTAAAGATGCTTTAATCCTAAATTCTAACTTCAAAATTGAAATCCTCCACCCTACAGTAAGTTTGCACAGCAACACGCATGAAACACGACCAAAAGTGAATGTTGTGTCGTGTCAGACGCAGGCGGCGGACGCCGAACACCAAGCGGGGGACGTGCCGACGTCAGGCGCCGGAGGAGAAGTGCAGCCGAAGGTTGACATAGAGCAGCTGAGGCGCAGGATGGTGTTTTCGCACCTGCACGCAGCTGGCACGGCCTTTATGTTGCACGGCCCCTCTTTGGACAACTGCTGGGCGTCTCGGGACGCGAGAAAGTCATCAGGTGCCTTGTTTGAGCAGTGGTCAAGGATTCCCAAAATTAGGGGTGTGTAAGTTTTGGCAGTGCGGCGCTTCGCCCCTCTCCTGTTGGGTTTGTTCCTGGCACTGAGGCGCATCGTCCGTGCCAGGACAGGTTGAAGGACTTCCAAAATTAGAGGTGTGAAACTTTGGCAGTGAGGCGCTTCGCCCCTGTCCTGTTGGGTTCGTTCCTGGCACTGAGGCGCTTCGCCCGTGTCAGGACGATGGGTTCGTTCATTTGTTGGTTTGTTTGTTCGCTTGTTTTGGTAGTTGTTTGGGTGTGTGTGTGTGTTTGTTTATTGGTGTGCTTCTGTTATGTGTTTCTGTGTGTGGGCACTTCTCCACACGTATGCGTTTGACATCCTGGATGGCGGCGAACCTTGCGAGTTGCCCCTGACTGAGTCTCAGTTCCGCTGAAACTGACTTAGTGGAGAGTATCAATATTGCGCAGGTAATGTTGACCCCATATGGGTGTGGGTCAAAAAACGCCACCATGGACCGCAGGTTTTAGTCTTTGGTTCCATTTGCCAGGGTTCCATTTTGGGTACCTGTTTTTGACCCAGAGCCAAATTAACCAACCCCAGTTCATGAATAGGCAGGTGTTCCCCTCCAAAAGTGATGATTCCACACGTTTCACCCAGGGACCCCCCGCCTCTCCCCCGCTCAGCCTGGGGCTTGATACAGCTAATGATGGCGATGCTAGGCGCTGCGGAGAATGGTGAGGCGCCGGATGAGGGGCTCCCCGCCATTTGAGTTGGTGCCCTTTTGGTTTGCCTTGCAGCGCGGTTTGTTTCAACCACACAGTGCTTCGTGCCTGTCGGTCAAATCGACTCCATTGGTGTTGAAACAACATGTTCAAACACTGCTGCAACGCGACGGCAGGAGCGGCAGTAGGTGATTCTCTTGCCCACGAAGCGGGTATGCCAGTCTGCCATTTATGATTTGGTGGACATCACTGGAACTATGGATTCACAAACTCCCCCCCTAGGTTTGGGGCTGACGATCACCAACAATTCTGCCATTTGATTTGGAGGACTTTTTTTACGGGGACTGATGCCCAAGTCTTGAGCTTGATTTCACAATGGGCTTCAGGACCCATGCGTTGCTTCCCTTGACCTCCCCTTTGCAGCAATAGGGAAGAAGCGGCAACAGCTGGCGTTTGCAGTTCCAGTCTTCAAACACTACGGTTGCGAGTGTGAGAAACACGACTGGGTTTATTTTCACCCAGGACCCTCAAAAGTTTGAATGAAATGTCACCTTGAGTCCCAAGGCAATCGGACGAACCGTTGACGAATTCAGCTTACCAGCCCCTGAAGTCCTTACTGCAAAGCTCATGGGCTGTAGTTCTTACAAAGAAAGGAAAGAACACTCACTAGCTCGAGGCCGTTTGGTGTTTTTTTCTGAAGCTGCACAAAACGTAAAGCGAGGGGCAGCTGCTTCAGCGTCTGAGCGGGTCAGATTTCATGTTCTTTCATTATGGCTGTGGGACAGGGTTTACAGCTGTCTGACATACCTACATTGGTATCACAAGTGTGGCTGTCCATGCCCAGTTGGGTTTGCCTGTAAAAAGGTGAGCCCTCAAACACGTGGTTTTCCTTTCAATTCCCTTTGACCCGACCCTTAAAATTGGTATACCCTCAAAAACCGACACTTGGGGGATTCTATGCCAACCTGTCGGTTCCCTTGGCCTAAAAAAGGGGCCCCTCCAAAGCTTGGGTGACATGAACATACACACACATTCATAGGTGTCCTTTTTAGGTTACTTTGTTTGAGAATAAATGGCACTGGTTTGTTTTTGGTTCTACTCACTTGCCACCATCTCTAATTTTCCACAGGACCCAACACACATGCGCACACCCCCACATGAATGGCAAGGGTCGCCCTGTTGGTTTCCCTTCAAACCTACTTTTCATCAAAAGGGCACCCTCTTCACTCCCCCAAAAATGGACTTCGGGTTTACGTGTGGTTTCCCTTCAACACCTATTTTTTCATCAAAAGGACATCTATGCACTCCCCCAAAAATGGCTTTTGGTTTTCCTGGTTTCCCTTTAAAACCCATTTTCCAAGAGGACACCTATGCGCCCATAGTCCCGGGTTTCCTTTTGGTTTCCCTTTAAAGCGCCGCCCAACCTCGGGGGGCAGCTCCCGAACCCGCCCCGCGCGACCCCTCGGCTCCCGACCGCTGCGCTCGGTTTCTTCGAGGCGTCGAAGGCCTCGAGGCCGCGGCGGAGGCGGAGGCGCTCGGAGCGAGGCGGGCATCCAACCGCTCACCCTGCTGAAACCCGAATATGGAATATGGAATCCCCCACGCCGAAACAAAAAATGGCGTCTGAGCCCAAACGAAAACTCATCCCTTGCTGTGTCCTTTAAGGGGAAGCCTTGGTTCAGTCCCACTTTTCCTATTGGAGGGCCTTGAGCTTCCGTTTATACGAGACAAATGGAATTGGGGGCCCCCACCAGCCCCTCCCACCAAGTAACAGCCGGAACCCCTAAAATGACTGGTTTTCCTTTTGGTTTCCTTTTAGCAACAGCCGCAACCTGGCGTTCGGGAGGTAGTTTGGACCCTTTTGCTTTTCAAGGGACCCCAGAAGGTCAGGTTGTGGGGTCATTGAGTCACTTGCTGGAACCCCCTACAGGTGGATCGAATCCGAGGTCGCTGAAGGAGTCGGAGTCGGAGGGTTAGGGAGGACACTCTTCACATGGTTTTGGGTTCACTAGTTGTGTAGGTTTTGAATATGACTCAATTGGTTGGTTGGTCGAAAAAGAAACACCAGACCGTAGGTTTCAGTCCATGGCACTCCCATTTTGGTTGCAATTTACCCGTTGCCATTGTCTAAGTCCATGGTCCTTGTCCTGGTTTTAGTCCATGCTTATATTTGCCAGGATTCAATTCTGGGCAAGCCATTTTGGGGGGTACCTATTCATCACAACCACAACTAATTGGCGGTTTTGCAGGGTCGCCGTTTGACAGTCCAAGGAGGGGTGGCCACGCACTAGCTCCATTAGCAACGTGTTTCGTGGTATCTTGGTACAAAGGGAATCTTGGGCAAGAGATGGGGGTGTCTTCTTTTGGACCCAATTTTTTTGGCGGGTACGGGAGGGCCAAACTGCCGAGATCCATTTTGGGCTACCCCAAAAAGACCCACGAGGCCTGCGATTCCGGCTTGGCCTTGTCAAGAAAGCGGATATTTTCCATGCAAGCATTCAATGGGATCACCCTGCACGTGCCTTCCGCCCGGCTAGTGGTTGGTGATCGCTTCCGAGCGCGGCGCGGTGCGATTCATTTCCAGGGGCCTCGGCGATCTTGAAAGACCCGCGTGGATCTGAACAGTACGCTGTATGTATCGAAGAAGGACCTTTGGACCCCCCATGTTTGGTGGTTCCCTAGTGGTTTCCCTTCAAACCAGCTTGAAAAGGGACCCCTCAAATAAATCGCGCCCATTCGGTTAAACACATATTGGGACCTTGTTGGGCTTGAGAAAAAAGGTTGTTTTCATCCACTCCCTTTGTTTAAGTCAACTAAAAACACAGAGACCCTCCAACTGGCTCAGGCGACGCGCCTCCCAGAAGTCGCACGCCCAGCGAAGCCGTGGAAGGCCGGCTGAACACCCCGGGGGAAGGGAAGAAACGGGGATCCCATGTGGCTGTGGTTGTCAAAACCAATAGTACCACTTTGGGGTAGGTGCACCACCCATTTTAGTCTATTTTAGTGGGGATCGGGATGTTCACTGGCGGTACGGGCTTCTGACCCATGGCCATGTCAAGAAACACGTGGGGGGGGGGAGGGGGTGAAACACGGGGATCGGGTGCGTCAAATGATTGCGTGCTTTTTATTTGAGGCTACCCGTTTTGGGGTGGGTTTAAGGGGGAGCCAAATGAGAAACCGGTTTGGTGACCTAAACTCACAGGCGCAATGTGATCATGGGTAGAGATGATTCCTCGAGCACTGAAATGATGTTTGGCCGAGGGCTAGGCCAAGTAGAGGGACATGAATCCCAGAAGTGGCCAAGTGTTTTCTAGTTTCAGTGCTCCTTTGGAGTCATGACAACCCTCACTTGCCATTGTGTATAAATTATTTAGCAACAACTAAGAACTTGCTTTCGTGCAAGCCGAGAGAGTTCGCACTGTGGACGGACCTTTGCTTGCCGCCAGGCTCTGATAGACACAGGAGACCGTCAGGGCCGGCATACGCGGTGCTGGAATTCATGGCACGCCATTCTGAGCGACCCAGAAGGATTCCTTCCTTGCAACTATGTGGGTGAGCTCCGCTGTCCGAATGAGGTTGTACATTTGAGGTTGGCTCATGGTCAGGTCCCTATCTTGAGAATCCATGAGACATCTTTAAATTGCATGTCCATTGCAGGGGGCGAGGCTGGGCCATGCGGGCCCGAGGATTGAACGCTTTTGGCAGGCTGAGAGCCAGCAGCTTTCCCCCTGTGTGCAACAACCACAGAGAGGCGCCTTGCATGAGGCTGCTAAACTTAGACCATCGATTTGTCCTTCGTTGTCGGCCGTTTTTGGCCAGTCGGAAAGGACAAGTCAAGCGGGCCCTGTTGTTCCAAAGCTGACTCGCTCCAAAGCTTTCCGTTTTTCTGACAAGAGGCGTCACTCACTTCGTTTGTGATCATTAGCCAACATTGGAATCCTGAGCCTCTGCATTGCACTTTGCCTGAGGACGAGGAGCCTTGCCCCAACATGTTTTCCCGGAGTTGACCAATTTGTGCCGAACCTCGAAAACAAATCAGCACCAAACCTGAGCCCAAATACTCCTATCCTTGCGCTTTGTGGGAGCAAGAACGGGCGGGCTCCATCCGCAGGTTGGTCCAAACGCCGAATTCAGGCAACACAAAAAATGACCGGAAAGCTGGCCCGACCCAGGCTCTACTTCCATTTGGTTATTATTATTATTATTTTGTTGCCCCTGATGGTGTTAAAGGGAATCGATCACTACTGGAAATACTTTTACGTTTTCCAGGGGACTTAAGCAAATGGAGGTCTATCTGAGTGGATTTCTTCGGGAATGTTTCCCAGGTCAGGTCTCTGCGCAAGGACTCGGCGCTTCCGCCTGCGCACCGCGGCAGAAGTGGAGAGCAGAGAAGGCGGGCGGAGGTTTCTGGCGGAGGTGACTTTGCCGTGTTTCCTCTTGCCTAGGCCTTTTACCCTTTTTTGGTTGGGAGGGTTCCCCTACTAAAGTAGACTACAGAAAAAAGGGCACCCATATTCTAACCTCTCTACTGGAGGACCCAGTTGCTGACTTGGTTTGCCGCTTTTCTTGCAGGATGACTGCAGTTCAATGTTCTTCCAGTTTTGGCTGTCGGGGTCACTTTGAGTGGCTCTAGACAATTGACCCGAATCAGAGGAATTCGCTGGAAAAATGGTTGACGTCTGATGACATTGACCCTAAAGAATCGTTTCAAGTCGCGCAGAATGGCCAGATGATTTACATCGCGATCTCAACCCGCCGACCGGAAAGTTAAACTACGACAAGTCGCCTGTTGAACACATGATGACAGAGGGGGGCAAAGTCACGAGAAGCTGTCTTTCCCTCTCTCTCTCTCTCTCTCTCTCTTCAGAATATAAACGTATAGCCAGAATTATAGAGACCATCTCTAGTGGCTAATAGAGCGTCTCTTTGTTGTTTTCACGACTTGGTCGATGTGCACTAGGATGCTGGCGCCGAGTTGCCTGCACCGAGAACGACTCGTACAAGCAAGCTGACAGAGAAACATGCAGAGCGCACTTGCGCAAAGAAACGTGCGCGGAGAGCTCTATCAGAGAAACTTGAATGGTGAACTTGCGCAAACAAACTTGCAAAGAGCAAGCTGCACATACAGCTTGTGCAGAGATGCTTGCATGGAGAACTTGCGCAGAGAAACTTGAGCAGATAAGCTGCCGAGAACTAGCGCAGGGAGCTTGCAGATTCAGAGTGAACTTGCGTAGACAACTCGAAGCGTCGGCGCAGAGTGAAGATGTGCTGGGCCACCCGGGGTTCTAGGTTGTTTGTGGCTTGCTTCCTTTTTTTCTCGCAGTTACAGACCCCCTCAGAGCGATCCTAAGATGCAGAAGCCGCAGTTTTGAGATGCTTGTTGGGGATGCCCAATCTCAAGCAGTGCCTGAAGCGGAGGCCACTCGCATGTTTTGTTTCACAACACCTCGCTGCATACTTCATTGGTTGATTGCGTATGCGTGTGTTTTTTTTGATGGTACCCGTTTTGGCGGGTGATGTGACGGGAAGCCAAAAGGGAAACCCACCATTTTTGGGGCGTTCCCCAAAAAAGACACTGTGTCTGTGTGGTTCAAGCAATTGCCTTGAATTTGACGATGCCAGGGACGCGTCGCTCCACACAAAGGCGAATTGGACTTTGGGGCTTAGAGGCGCCATGTGACAATGCAGCATGCCTTCCTACCCAGCAAGTAAGTGGTGCACGCGTGCAATGAGCAAACTTGATTACCAGGCAAACACGTCTTATGGCTTTTTGGATTTGGATTTTAACTTTTTCTGGTGGACACAGTTCGGATGCCCGCACAAACACTTCTGCCAAGGGCAGAGGTGGCGTGACAGCAGCAGCCCAGCAAACATGAAGCAAAGAGGCAGCAGGTTTTCATGGCTTGACCCATGCCGAGCCATGCCTCCGGACCTGCCTGGCTTGTGGGCAGCCATCCTTCCAGGTGCATGTGGATGTCTTACACCACATGCGGTTCAAAGGGTCGGGTTACAGCAAACATCTACAGGGAAACGGCGTATTTAGGGGGTTCGGGGCCATTTCCTGTAGATTTTCCTGCAACCAAGCCCTTTGAGGGATTCAAAGGCACCTGTGCCCTGTCACTTGTTGCAATGCTAGCTTTGCCTTGGTGTTGCATGATCTATGCCAGCTCACCTTCGTTTGGATTACTAGCCCCCCCGGCGGAAGCCACACATCTTACGGCAGCCATTTAGCCAATTGCAACATAGTGAGTTGCACTTCACTTTGAATGTCATGGTGAAGGTGCCAGTGGCTCGCCCTTTTGAGGGGAGCTCCACGTGTACTTTAGCGGTACAGGTTTGCTGACCAGTTACAATGCAACTGGCAAATCCAGTTCAAGGCACACAAGTTGGGAGGGCTTCTCGCAGAGTTCGCTTGAATTCTTCGGGCAGTAGCCTTGCTGGTGCTCAGTGGGGAATGTGGGAATGAACCCAGGGATTCCCTTAAATGAAACCACGAGGGATGGTTTATAAGGGTCATTCCATTTCTCATTCTCTGCCTATCGCGCCAGCAAGTAGCATGTCAGGCCTTTTGGATTTGGCTTCACTCTCAGCCTTCTGGTGTGCCTGTCGTGACACCAGCCTCTCGGAGGATGAGGACTGGGGTACTACCTCAGGGTTCCGCTTTTTGACCCCAGGGTCCAAAAGACTGTGGGTCAAAAATATGGTAACCCCAAAATGGCTTGGGAACCCTGGTAAGTGGAACAATGGACCAAAACCTGCGGTTTTTCGGGTGGCTGAATTTGGACCCATACCCAAAAGGCAAAAGGGGAACCTATGGGTTTGAAATCCGTCTTGGGGTAGTCAAAAAGTGGAACCCTGGGGCGACTGACAGACGTGATGGGATTGCTTCACGCGAGACGAGTG